AGGGCCGACAAACTTTGGCGCCATATAAGGTGACAAATAAGCAGTCGGGTCTACAAATTTTTGTAGGACCACAAAATTTTTATATTTGATGTATAAATAAAATTTTAGGATTGACAAAAACAATAAAATAGATAACTAATTAAAGAAAATTTGAATTTCAAGTAGGTACGTGCACATCGTGAATAAAGGATGGATCCGCCACCACAAATAAGGAGTAATAAAATTCAACTCAATTAAATCATTCAAGTTAATTCTATGTCAACTCGAATAAATAATAAATTAAATAGTAGGATTTTTTTTAATATGGAGTTATTACAAAATAATATTTGTTCAAAAGACTTTCGACCATTTGAAAATAAATGTCAAACACCCCGTAAAAATCATGCTCGAACCCGAAACCCTCGCTTTATTAATGTATTTATAGTAGGAAAACTCATTAAAAAGGATTTCTCGGTGATTAAACCTTTTTAGCCACTTTTCTATATAGGACTAGGAGTCTGCATCCATAAAACGAAAACTCTATAGGTCACTTGTGGGTTTTGTTTGTTGAACTTTGGGGAGTTTTTTTTTAACTCCAACTAGTATGATCCTTAGGCTATAAATGCGTTAAAATTTAATTTGATTAATCAAATGTTAGTTTTTAAATGTGCTCAAATATATATATTTTCTTTGGTTTTGATGTTTTAAAATTCAAGAAATGAAATGGGCATTGATATCAAAGAGTATCCATATCGTATGATAGGTATCAATAGGGTTGCACATAATTCGGATTTCAATCCGATCCGGATCGATTTTTATCCGATCCGGTTTTTTCCCATAGAAAAAAAAACCGGTTTATAAAATAACCGGTTCGGTTTCTAACCGGTTTGGAGGGCCGGATATCCTAACCGGTGTAACCGGTTTCGGTTTTAAAAAAACCGGTTTTTTTAAAAAACCGGTTATAAAAAAACCGATTTTAATATTCCAGATTGCTCATAGGGAACCGATTCCCCCCAAGGGGGTACCGATTCCTCACTGAATGGTTTGGCTCCGAGATTTCCAGAATGCTCGGAGGGAACCGATTCCCCCATAGGGGTACCGATTCTCCCCTATTCAACGGTCGAAATATTTGAATTTTACACTTAGGGAACCGATTCCCTATGAGAGGGTACCGATTCCCCCACGCTCTAAGCATTTTTATTAAATGTTTTCACACTTAAACGGCTATATTATCTTCATTAATTATCACTAACGTTCAGAAGTGATTCAAGGTGTATTTAAGCAAGCTTAGAAGTCATTGATCAAAGACAAGAAACATCAAGCAACTAGAATCAAGAGAGAATCAAAGAGAAAGCATCAAACCTCAAGTTCGATAAATTCAAATACTTAATTGAAATACTTAATTAACTCAACATAATTGAAATACTTAAATACTTCCAAGTTTGATAAATTCAAATACTTAAAAACTTCCAAGTTCGATAAATTCAAATACTTAAAAACTTCAAGTTCGATAATTGAAACAAAGTTTACGATAATTGAAATAAAGTTATAAAATAAACTACATTGCCATCTCTTCTTCATCATCTTTGCCTTCTTCGTTTGGAGGGGATATTCCAAGTTCGACTTCTTCAATGTGTAAGTTGCTTCCAAATCGGCATCAATTGCATCTTCTAGGGTGGTGATATGTTGCTTACGAGCCGCTCCATCCAAATAATCCTTTAAACAAATGCATACTTCCACCGACTCGGGACTTAGTCTTGATCTCCGTTGCGATATAACCCTGCCACTAACAGAAAAAGCGGATTCCGAAGCTACCGTAGAAGCTTGGACGGTTAGTAAATCACGGGCCATGGCGGCTAGAATCGGAAATTGTGCTTCCTTTTCTTTCCACCAAGCCAAAATATCCAAACTTTCAAACTCTTCAAATGTCATTTTTGATAGAAAATCGCATGACATATAATTTCCCAACTCGCTACTTGGGGTGGTAGTACGTGATCGTTTGGATTGGGAATTTACAAGAGTGTTAAAAAGATTCAAATTTATGTTACTTGGACGTCTACTAGATGATTCCGCATTCATTCTCATTTGATCGTGTATTACACTACTTGATCCGTATTTATTTAAATAAATTGCAAACATGTCTCGAAAACATTTGTTAAAATAATTTATTTGGTTTTGGACAAAGTTGGGTTCATCATCGGTTAGATTAAAAGCAAACGCAATTTGTTCAATTAGTGTTTCAACCCCACCAACATTTAACGTTGGGTTTAAAGCGGCGGCACAAGTAAAAATGGGGGGAATCTCCTTAAAATATTTTAAAAGTTTTTCCTTCATTAAGAAACCAATTTCTTGAAAAACTTCGGTTTCAAATTCAAAGTCATTTAGTCGGGTAGCCAACAAAAATATTTGATTAAGAACCAACGGGCTAGTAGGGTAATAAACACCGGATAAAAAAGTTGTTGCATTTTTAAAAACCTCAAGTAAATCGGTTATTTTGGCTATAGTTTCCCAACTCGAATCCGGATAAATGTCTGGGACATGACCCCTCTCGAAAAGCCGATCGTGAAATGTTTGCAATGTTTCCCTTTGCCTTAAGGCAGTATGCATCATCATCCAAGTTGAGTTCCAACGAGTTGGACAATCCAAATTAGGACCCAAAGTTTTTTTATTAACAGACTTACAAAATCGTTTATAATCATTTAGTCTTTTGTTGTTGTTACAAAGAATCGATTTTATCATTGTTTTAAATTCTAATCTAATTGGCTCAATAACCTCCAAACCGGCTTGCACGGATAAATTAATTATGTGTGCAACACAACGGGTATGAAAAAACGCACCGTCTAAAATCGGTGAAAGTAATATTTTTAATCTTGGAATCGCGTTTGTATTATTCGATGCATTATCAAAAGATATAGAAAAAACTTTATTTTCTAATTTATAAAGACAAATTACCCGTTTTAAAAGTGTAAATAAATTAGCACCGGTATGCGGCTCACCGAATAATTCAAACGCGATTGTTCTTTTCATCATTTGCCAATTATCTTGATCTAACCAATGTGACGTAACGGCTAAAAAAGAATTTCCGGTATTATGAGGGGAACTCCAAACGTCACATGTAAGCGACACACCATAACGGTGTTCTTGAAATCCTAAAATCATTTTTTCCCTCGCCGTACGCCACATTTTTATAGCATCTCTTCTAAGGGTAGTACGACTTACTTGAGTATAACGTGGTTGCATTAGTTGTTGAATTGTTGTCGTGAAATCTTCATCATCAAAGTGGTCGAACGGCAATGCTTTTGTAATCACGAACTTTGTAAACGCTTCTCGTAATTTTTCGTTGTCGTAAACAAAAACACCACCTTGCGGTGTAAGATTCGATTGACTAGGATCCGATCTTGAGCGAAGTGCCTTGCATGATTTTGTCAAATGGTTCTTCAACGTTGTGTTTCCTTCCGATGCAAGAAACTTTAGACAAAGTTTACAACGCGCCCTCCTCGAGCCATTTGACATCTCACATAAATCGTAGTGATCCCAAATATCTTTGTTTCGAGTGTGTTCGATCACTCTCACGACTTCAAGGTTTCCCCCGACGGAAGATTCAGCAGTGTTACTCATGATGAATAAAAAATTACAAAACTAAGATTTGAGAGATGTTTAAGTGTTGTGTAATAAGATTTGAGAAAGTTGTAATCAACCAAATACATCCCCAACCTATTTATACATGTTTAGGGTGGTAAAATGGTAATTTTTTAAAGAAAAAACGGTCAAAAACGGTCACAAACGGCTATATTAACGGCTAGTTTTTTAAACCCATACCGATTTTTTTTTTCGGATAAAAACCGGTTTTTTAACCGGTTTTTTTCAAACCGGTTTTTTATCCGGTAAAAAAACCGGTCTAGGTTTTTTTCTCCAAACCGGTTAAAATAACCGGTTTAAAAAAATCCAATCCGGTTAAAAAAAAACCGGTTTTTCCCAAAACCGGTTTCGGATATTTTTTTCAGATATTCGGATATTCGGATTTTTTGTGCACCCCTAGGTATCAATATCTTACTAATGATATCGATACTTACGGGCTGATTTCACGACTTGACCCTTAAAACTTGCTCAACTCTTCAATTTAATCCTTTATGCTTTGATTTAGTACAATTATACCCCAAAACTTCCACAAATTTCATTCAATCTTGACATTAGCATCAATTTAAGACTCGTAACCTCTCATCTAAAGGTTCAGACCAACAATACATATCGATTCACGATATCCTTTGATCGCCAAGAACTTGGGGGCATTACAACAATACACTTTCAATAATATTAACCGCACTTTATAAATAAGGATAATTCTGTAATTTCTAACTATGTTCACATTATGTTAACGAGTGACACCAAGTTCAATCAAAACTTTAAATATTAATATAGATAATTAGATATTATTTCAACATCAATCGTCTCAAATTTCTTTTCTTTCAACTCAATTGGTTATTAAACATTGGTTAAAATTTCAAATCAAACTTTATTGATAAAATATTATTCGTCAACTCAATTAAAAATCAAACATAGAAAAAAGTAGTAATATGAAGACGAAAATGACGATTATGACATTGATTTTCATCTTATTGAAGATGATTCAAGACAGTTTTTCATGATCAACCCATAAATGGGTTTCAACTAGACTTCAAATTGGTTGATGGCTTCATTTTCCCTCTTAATCCGAGACTAACTATGGGTACAGCAATTTAAGTACATCGTAATAACCATAGTGGCAACCATAGCTTCTGGTTATACCAGTGGCATAATATCTTTCAAGGATAAAACAACGTTTAATCCATCATCGACAACTAGAAACAACAGAGTAACAAATTTCCATGTTCGAAACAGGGCTCTAATCTGACCTGGGCTACCTATACATTCATAGATGCGAGGATCTTCCATCCCATATCTAAATTAGTTTGCTAGAGTACACAAGAACTGGAAAATTTGAGCAAATGCGACATTTTCATAATGGTAATTGATGCAGAACATTATTGAATATGCATATGCATTGAAACACTCCTACGCAGTTTGAGATCCATTTAGTGTATTACACCCCCATGAAGAATAGTTTTATTCCCCTTAGGGCGGCGAAAAAATCACATTATCTACAATGCAGTTGACGCAGATGGTAACAACTAGTTGAGTTTTGAGTTTCAAGCTTCAAGTCTCCGATTACGGAAAATGCAGCTTTACTTTTTTTACAACAACAGATTTTGGATTTTTCTCATCATTCTTCCAAGACCACACCCTTTGCATTACATGCAATGATTCAACAGGTATAAGCACAAGATAATTATAAAAACTTCAAACATATGACGAGGCAACTGACCAAGAATTGCCGCTTTAAGCTGAATCTACTCCTTCAACCTGCTGTCGAGCAAGGTATCTTTCCCTCCGCTCTTTCTGCACAACAGAAAAAATTTACAATCCTATCACGCAAGTAAAGAATCTATAAGAATAATTTTCATCAGATGATTACAAGAACACTTACCCATTCATCTATCACAAGTCCTTCCCCAATGATTCTCGGTCCTGCATCCTCTGGAGGCTTTTTGCGTGCCTCAACTGCAGCATCGGCATCAGCTACTTGGCGCTTCAATTTTTCTAGTGCCTTAAACCCATAAATATTTAGGCTACTTAGTTTGCTATGATTTTGATAATTTGGAATGCACGTCAAGTATCATGCAGGGGGAAAGTGTTGACATGCAAACATGAATACGGTCAAATACAACTGGTGGCTTAAGATAGTGTAACATGGAAGCAGTACTTACAGGACAAGGGCGCTTGGGATCTAGAAAAACAACTCGTAATATTTTCTCTATTGCCACTTGATCCTTTTGCTCATCAAACTACAAAAAGACGGGCTACGAAGATTAATTGCATGATTTACATATATCCAAAACCTCAAAGAGAAAAGAAAAAGATCAGATAGGAGAAGAGCAATCAATAGTATAGATGGTAAAAGAATATTCTCAATTGTGCATAAAACAAACGCAGCCAGGCAACCCAAGAAAATGATTGAAAAACCATGCTTAATCTATCAAAATGGGCCCAATATCAGATTTTCAAGAGATTCTTATCCGATAAAGCATGATAATTGAGCATACGTCGACTTCAAAAGTTTATTTACAGCAATAGTAGGACATCTTGATGACAAAATTGCAAAGTAAATAAAAAAAAATCTGGCCATAAAGCACAGTAGTTTCTTTTATGTTGCAGACAGAAGGTACAAATCCCATAAAGAAGAATATTTGGATAGAGAAGTCTTGTCCCATAGTGATTAGTGACATTTTATGCTTCAAAATATAAAGCCCTGGAAATACAAGAATCCAAATCAAACTATAGAACTGCTTATCTGTAATGTCGTCCTGTAAAGTTAATTGTTTGTGGAGAAATTTAAACACTATTAACCACGAAGTAAACATAATACGCATCGTCAGAATATTACTTTATATTCATCATAAGCTCACATACATCTAAATGTTGTAAAACTCAAAAGTCTTAATATTCTTTGTCATATAGATGGAAAATCGAAAGCATGTGGATCACATGAAAACACAGTTTTACCAGAGAAGTTCAACGCACCAGCTCGGGAACATAGTCCATCGGACCCTTCACCTTGAGACTCATGATTTTAAACTTAACCCTGCTCTTCTGCTCCATTGGCTTTTCATTATTTTCAGGTTGCTCCACAAACTTAAAGACTAGTAAATCCATTCAAACCAGGAAGAGAAAATCATAAGGACATTTCGAATATAAGCTAAACAGTTAGAAAATATATTGATGCCAATGTATCAGTACACAGAAGAGTGTAAAGAATCAATTACCCGTCGCAATGATGCTCTCGCCAGGAGCAATAATAGCACCCGGTGGGCGCATGAAACAACTCTTCGGTGCTGTGGTTTGAAACTAAACCAACAGAAACAAAATGGTTCATAACAATCATTACAAATCAAAGCAACTGTCATAAAACACAACATTAATCCACTTCTATCTATAGCTTATAGAAATACAATATAACAAACATGAACAACAAGACAAAGAAACGACAAAGCAAAAATGAAATTTTTCCACAAGTTTAAGGTTTTACCTTGAAAGCTGTATATGACTTGCTCGTGTTCTTTATCCTAACCGCGCTCCTCACTTGTTTGCCAGGTTCATCTTGGAAAAACAAAAACAAAATAAACAATTAAGAACAAGATAATTGAAACCTCAAATTAATTATTTCCAATACTAGGAACACGTAATACAAAATCTTCCGAAATGAATCAAATAGAAAATTTCCTGAATTAATCCAAGTTAATTAAAATAATTAGTAGCAAATTATTTTACTAAAAAAACAAAATTTAGTATTCTTTATATCAGCTACTTCAATCAACAATCTTGATTCTCAGCAATCTCTACTCCTAATTCTTTTTTAATTTACTGTTAATTTCCATATATAAACATAAAAAACAATCGGAAATTTTAGAATATGAGAATACAGCAAAGAAGAGTACATACATGGGAAATAGAGCTTATTAGCCGGATCAAGCTTGAGCCTGCGACGAGTCGGTAAAAGCGACTTAGCAACGGAGGAAACGGAGTTCGCTGAGCCGTGATGGTTGGATCGTTCCACATGAGGTTGACTTTGAGTATGCAGATTCGAAGCCGAGGAAGCAGAAGACGAAGTCGTACTGTTACTGTTCCCGGTTTGTCTAAAAGGCAGCTTGAAAAAACCCCAAACTTTGCCATCGGACGGTGGCTTCTGGCCGGTTTCTATCGCCATCTTCCTCTCTGAAAACAATCACGAGCTTATGTACGGCACCGTTTTTACGTTTTCGAAAGCACAGAAAGGAAACTGTAACTGGTACTCGAAGCGAGAAACTCGTGACAAAGGAAAACAGAGAGAGAGAGAGCGCGTCGGATTTCAATGCTTGGATTGTACTATATTTGACTTATAAGAATTGGAAGTCCGTTTTGCCCTTTGCTTTGCATTTTTTTGGCCTTTTAAACCAGCGCGGACGATCAATCAAGCTCTCCAAACGGCACCGTATTCCTTCATTTTAATTTTGGTCAAATTTTATGGAAGGTCTTTGTATTATACGGTTTTGATCAATCCAGTCCATTACTAGTTACTATACATTTACCATACTTAGGCTATCTTCAGCCCTCATTTCTACTCTATCGTATTTTTATCTCTATTTTAAAAATAAAACAGTAATTCATCTCCAACGCTATTTTTACATTACCGTCAACTCTACTTTATTCACAATATTTAATTATTATAATATTGATTTTGCAAATATAAAATAAAATATATACATTTCTAATAAATATCAAGATAAAAAGCATAAATAAAACATTCATAAATAATATTGTAAAAATAAAAAAAATAAAAAAATTACAATTCATAATAATAATGCAAAAAAATATAAGTTACATAATTATATATTTTTATCTTACAAAAAAATTAATATATTTATTTATCTAATTTTAATATATTTTTATCTATATTTTAATTTACTCTATTTGAATTAAAAAAAGGAAAATTGTAACGCGAGCTACAGTGCTGCGTTACATGTAGCGCACAATGTAGCGAATCTCCAAAATGGAGAAATTCTCCACATTGGAGAAGCGTTGGAGATGGCCTTAGTACTCTATTTTTTGAAATATGTATTTACAGTTACAAAATCAAACTCTTTTTTTGTTAATTTTTTTAAAGATATGGATATACAGTAGTATTAGAGGCGTAATTAAGGACGGATCTAGTCTGAATGGTAATAAGTTTGATCTCGAGTTAAATTTTGAGACTCGATACTTGATTGAACACCAATTTTCATACTAGAAATCAATTTAAAATATAATTAAACTTTTTAAACTTGAACTCAATTAAATTTGTTTATCAATTTTATTATTAAAATTTATATTCAATAGCTCAATTAAACTTATTCATATTCAATAATATATATAATAAGTGTAGAAATATAGTTTAACAATGTACTAATATATATTAAAAGTGACCCCATGTCCTGGTGTGTTCCATACCAATTACATCAACGAGGTTGGGTGACTGAGGTCATATGGGTTATCAGAGAAATTAATATACTTGTCGGTGGTATTGCTAAGCTGAGCTCGCCTTCAACGTATCAGACTATGCTCTTATATTTGTTACCGTCATCCCTCCATGATGTTCTCACGTATGATGTGATGAGTCCTCCTTACTGTAAAAAAATTTAATTCGATAAATAATTCAAATTACTCAGGCTCAAATTCCATTTAATAATTATTAAATTAGATTTAATTTTTTCCTAAATTGAACTCAAATAGCTTAGAAGCAGAAGCCTGTCATTTACATTCCTGTATGGTACTTACACGTTGCCATTTTTTGTAAAGCTATGTGTATTATATTTTTATTTTTTATTTAAATGAACTAAAAATTTATTCAAAAGCATAGTACATGGATTTTGTACAGAGTTTGACCATAAAATTTTTAGGGTGCGTTTAATTCACGGAATGTAAGATTATCAATAGGAATAAAAGATTATCAGGGAATAAGATTACTGAAAATGTTGTATTTTGTGTTTGGTTGGTTTAGCAGGAATGTAAGATTACCGTGTTTGGTTAAAGGAATAAAAGATTATTGAAATGTATATTTGACCAAATTGTCCTTATTATATATTTGTATAATATTACAAATTGTAAAATATGTATATATATTTTCTTTAAAAAAATAAATTCATAATATTTATATAATTTTTTTTACAAAATTAAAAATATAAAAAATGTTTAATGAAAGGATAAAAAAAATTAATCCCTGAACTTCATATAAAATTTTAATTATAGATTTTTTTTTATAAATCTAAAATAATTTAAAGATAAATTTATAATTTAACATTCGTAAAATTTTTATTATTCAATAACATAAAAATGATATTTTTGAAAAAAAAATAAAAATTTAAGGGCATTTTAGTCCAAAACGCCGGTAATGTTACAATACTTAAGAGATGAGAGGTAATGACATTCTCGATAATATACTCCAAAAAATCTATTATTAATAATAAAACATTAAAAATAATAAGATTTCAGACCAACCAAACATAAAAATCCCACAACCCTTGACCAAACACCCTTGAGTTAATTTTGAAATACCGTTGTCTGTGAGCACCAACTTGGTTTTGCAGACTGCCGTAGAAAATAAGCTTGTCAAACGTCAACGAGGGCAAAACAGGAAATTAGTAATGGGTTTTAGTTAGAGTTGTTGACGAACCAATGGAGCAAGCTGTGGTGGGGTTCCTTTTAGTGACGTTTTAGCTTTATTTTAATTAATGTTTAGTTTTAACTTTATTTTAATAGCTTGATGTTAAAAAATTAAAGATGTTATTAATTTATCATCAAAAAGATAATATTACGTCGTCATTGAAAAAAAATAAGAATTGTCACGTTAAAAATTTTGTTAATTTCTAAACAATGGTTAACAAAAATAAAATTAAAATGTTAAGTATAATTTTGAAAAAAAAAAGTAGTTTGGTGACCAAAACATAATAAAAATGATAATTGGAATACTAAACTTTTGGTTTACCCTTTTTATTAGTTATTAATGGGATTAGTTTTGATTACACAATTTCATTCCCTCGTTAATAAATGTTTCACTTTCTGATAAATCTAAGTAATTTCGGTGTTAAAGTGGCCCCATTCACCTAATTAATTAATTAATAGGTGGTGTTTTAAATGATTAATCTTTTGGAATTTTCCTTCCTATTAAAAATTATTATTTAAACATTGACGCGTTTTCTATGTAATGTTATTCAACGTCAATTAAAAATGGGTTGAATTGCTCGTATGGTTGTGAAAAAAATAGGTCTCAACGAAATTATTTTTTGATATAGGGTGAATATTATCGTACCCGTCAAAAATCACCAAGAACACAATGTATCTTTAGAAAGTCGTTGGAAACACAGTGTCTTCAACTTTGTTTAACGGCAAAAAATGTGGAAGAAGTATTATGTTCATGGCGACTCTTCGGTTACTGTAGCATTTACATCATCTTAAGAAATAATTTCAGCGATTCCTTAATTCAGCCAAAAAAAAATTCAATAACCCTACAAGCAGCAAATCAGCCATTAAAATGTTATGTATAATGATTGTTCAAGATTGAATTATATTATTTTTCATAATTAATATATTTATATAATTATAATAAAAATAATGTATGAATAAAATTATAATTATAAACAAATATATTAATAATGAAATAATCGGAATAAATCTGTTTGAATTTAACATTCTATATTACTTATAAATTCTATCTAAAGTTTTGGTGCATCGACCGAAAGGGTTCATGTATGTTTGCATAGCGAGAATCTGTGTTTGTTCTGGGTAGAAAAAACTTGGATAATATTTTGGTGGCTCATGAATTGAATCATTATTTGTACTCTTCTCTGAATGGTCGTAATAAAGAGGTGACTCTTAAGTTAGATACAAAGACGACATGCGACAAGGTTGAATGTTATACTGAAATTGAATTTTGTGTTGATTGGATGAATTTAATAATGTCGTGCGTGACTTCAGTGAAGTTTTTTACTCGTGTAATCTACTCCCTCACCCAGGAATTCAAACCAAATGGTGGTTTATGATAAAGCGATCGATCCTATTTCACCTTTTCTCTTTTCGTTTTGCACCTAGGGTTTATATGCCTTTCTTCATGCCGAATAGCGTGCAGGGGGACTAAAATGGATGTGAGCGACTTGTTCTGGGCCAAGGATCACCCGTTGTTTATTTGCCGATGATAGTATTATTTTCTTAAAGAATTAACCAATGGAGGCGCTCCAGCTTAAGGATGTGTTGAATGAATATGAACTTTCGTTGGGCCAAAAGATTGACTATGAGAATTAGGGAAGCCCTTGACTTTGGCCACTACCTTGGGGGTGCCTTTACACATCGGGCGGAATAAAACGAATACATTTGGTTACTTGCATGACAGGGTAGTTGCTCGAGTTTCGGGTAGACAAAGAACCTAATGTCTTTTGGGGGAGAGAAGTGTTCATTAAAGCCGTTGCACAAGCTTTCCTTAGTATGCTGTCTTGTTACATTCTGCTTGATTGTTTGCTTAATGAGATGGTGAGTGTGATGATACAATTTTGGTGGTTGAGTAAAATTTCTGAGAGAGGATGATCGTTGGCTGCATGGAAAAAGATGAGTCATTCGCATGAGGGTTAAGTTTTTGTGACCTTCGTAACTTTGATGTTGCGCTAGTCGGCAAGTAGGTTGGAGGTTGATCAAAGATCCTGAGAACTTATTTGCTCGAGTGTTGCATGCGAAGTACTACCCTTCGGGGAATATTTACGATGATAAGTTGGGTGAAAGGAGTTCTTATGCGTGGAAATTCCTTCATCGTGCCATGTATGATTTATCCGCTGGTTTTTTCTGGAGAATTGGGATTGAGAGCAATGTCTGCTTGCATAGGGACCGTTGGGGAAAGAGTAAAACCCCTCCTTATTTGTGTCTTATGTTGATAACCTGGATAATCATATCCTTTGTAAGGAGTTCATGAAGCTTGGGCGAACTTTGTGGGATGAAGGATTGCTTCGCATGTGTTACATCCGGTTGACGCTGAAACAATGCTACGCGTGGCTATTTCTCCATGCTGGGAGGACACCATTATTTGGGGTTATCATGATTCAGGTACCTATTACGTTCAGCAGGGCGTGGTAGGGTTTTCGGGGGCCCTGTACAAATTCGTATAAAGGGATCCTATTTTCTAGATATATTCGATTTTGGGGCAATAATAGTGGTGTTTTCTTGACAAACGCCGCAATAAATCCATCTATAATGACGTTTTATCAATAAAGCCTCAATAATAGTGGCGTTTTTTAAAAAACGTCGCAATAGTCATCTATAGTGGCGTTTATCAGTAAAACGCACTGTATATATTTTTTTTGAGCTTTTTTTGGGGGCCCTGCGCGGTCGCGCAGTTTGTGCCCCCCAGCCACAGCCCTGCCGTTCAGTCGGGATATCAGTGGCTCTAAAAGGCCTTTGCATGAATCAGGGTAACTGTTGAGGATATAGAATGTGGTTTTTAATTTGCGTGTTTTACCTAAGATACGTATCTTTGCATAGAGTGTTACATACGACGCTTTACCTATCGAAAGCTGACTGAAAGCTGTGGGGCTTACTGTCGGATATTGTCCTTGATGCTAAGGGACAAAGGAAATTATTCTCCACGCTTTATGTTTTTGCCCCCAATCATAGGAAACTCTTCGGCTAGCTGGGTAATCGATCCAAGTTCTTTGGAGTCATGTGGATTCTCCTTGGGGTTGGCTTGAAACAACTCTTGCTAATTTAACTATTGATTCATTTGCAGGATTTATTATGTTATTATGGAACCTCTAGAATAGATGCAACTCGTTTGTGCATGCAAATATATTCCAACCGTCTTGGACTGTATGAATGCTCAACTTATTCATTGTAATAAATAACATAAATGATTACATTACTTTTGTTATCATTATATAATTCGCCAAGGAATGAGTATATACCTATATGGGTCACAATGTAAGCCGGCTTCTTGTTTTTCGAATTCCAATAGATAATTACAGGGCTTCCTTCATTCATTTGCTAAGTTCCCAACATTAACTTTTTCTATAAATAGCAAGTTTAACCCAGAAAAAACAAAGAAACTAAAAACAACAACAACAAAAAATGGCAAAGTCCAACAACAAAATCTCCATGCCCACCAACTTGGTCTTGATCGTTGCAGTCTTGGTCCTTGTTTCCATGGCTGAAAGCCGTGGACTTGTGAGTAAGTTCTCTAATCTAAAGCTAATAAAGCATAGTTTTTTTTTTTTGAATAGTTTGAGGTAATTACAATACCTCTAGGGAGAACAACAATCCTTTTTGTCATTGAGGCCACTTGATGGGTTCTAATAAGCATAGTTTTTAACTGTTAATTAGAATTTAATGATTAAAAAATTTTCAGTTTCAAGGAAGAGCATACCAAGCTGTGTTAAGGTTTACGGCGTGGAGAGTGGCGACACATGCTTTGGCGTAACACAGACGTTTAACTTGACCACTAGGTTCTTCGATTCGGTGAACCCTAACCTAAACTGCGATTCGCTCTTTGTTGGTCAGTGGCTTTGTATCGCCGGCACTGCATAACAATGTTAAGCAGCTCGTTCAACATATAAAGAAGTACCTAAGTCCATGAATAAGGAGAGAGCTAGGTTTTCTCCATGTCAACTGTTTCTTTTTCTTGTATGTTTGCAGTACGATTCATCTTTAAAATTTGTTACTGTTACCAATGAATTATGTTTTAAAATTTAAAATATCTTTTTAAAAATAACATAAATATAAAGCTACACATCAATATAAATCAATACAGTTACATATCAATGGTAGTAAAAAATTAATTATTAGTTTAATAGTAGAATGAGATTATAGATCCTTCAAGAAAGATATATGATTCGAATTCAAACGATGTGGATTAAGTAGGTTAAATTAGAAAAACTCTTTAACAAATCTCTTTAATATCTATATTAATTAGTCAAATTCCTAACTAAATATGGCACACAGATACATTGTTTAAGTTAGTTCCCATAAAGTCACATCTAGGAGTTGTCAATATGGCACAATCAATCAACGACACACAGATACATAGGCACGAAATAGTTAACAAAAGGTCATCACATGCATTTACAAACAAATCAGACCTTCAAATCCAACTATTAACATTAGATATAATTTGGTTATCCTAAATAACAACACCACCTCAATTAAATCTCTGACGAATCATATGGTTTAACAGAGATAAATTTGATCTAACAGTTGTAACCATCTTCTCTAAGACAACCTATAGACAGTGATCATATCATTGGTATGACATTAGCCTCCTGGTAGTCAGAGTATTTATACCTTGGGGAAAGGCTGAAAAAGAGGACTCTTCCTTTCCTTTTTTTATTTACTTACAAAATCTTATCTCTCACGTTATCTTTCTCTCTTTCATTCCTATAATCTAAAATCATCAGGTTGTTATTATCTTTATACCGATTACGATTATTTATCAAATTAAAAAAATAAACCACTATCGTATGATACACCTCACTTATTTCCATCAACAATTTTAATAATAATATAATAATTATGTTTAAAATAATTTTAAAATAAATATAAATATTATTCTTTAAATTTTCATTACCAAGCAAATAATATATTCTAGATCTGTTTTTCACCTATTTATATCCAATTAATTTGAATACCATGTTATTAAATTTAGATTTAAATGAAGATCTCAATGATAAAAGAAAATGTTAATTTTATTAGAGGATTCAAGTTCGAGCATTTCATCTACAGCGTGAGTGCATTATTAATTTAAATAAATTAAAATATTAATATGAATTAAAATTCAATTGATATTAAAAATATATAGATTATTTGACCCACCATTGGCCATCCAAAACATTTACATAGGTTCCATACCAAAGAGCAATGAAGCAGGAAACAGAAGTCTCAAATTGGGAATTCAGATTCATCCCATTGAAGAACTGCATAATTTATGTCTTGTTCTCTTTTCAATTAATCTTTCACGAACCAGTCACATACCCTTCCAGCATTCAACTCCTCAATCGAACATCCTTCCTGTTCTGATACAACTCTTAGTAGATTTAAGGATGATATCCGCAAACAAATCCCAATTGCTCTTAAATAACATATTGATCATATTAATATCAGGGATGTTTGGAGAGACACCGAGGGGCGATTGTCCTTTTTAAAATATTTTCTTCATATTTTCTGTCGATAATTTATTTTTTTTATATATTATAAACTTATCTACTAATATAAAATTGTCCATCTAGCTTGGAAAATTAAAGGAGAGGGTTTACCGTTAGTCGACAGAGGAACCTTTCATGAGTGCTTAAACCAGATAATTCAACCAATCCACCTTCTTCTAGTGAAAGGAAACTCCTCCTTTCTGTCTTCTTCAAATCTTCACCTCCTTGGCCAGTACTACATCCTCTTATTACAAGCTTTCTTGTGGTAAACAACTTGTTGCCCGGTGAAAAGCTGGTCTGGGTTTTGGTTAGTTTTTGATGATTTCTAGGATTGGATAGCAATGGTGTTTGATAAAGGGTTGTACAAGGCAAGTGTAAAATCATACTTTATGGTTATGTTTTTCAATCAGAACTGGAAAATTGGGGTGACGTTATGGAGTTTATGTGGTGGAGATGGAGATGAGATGCATGGCTCAATCCAAGCAAAGTAAATTAGATTGATGGTTTATGGGTCTTGGGTCAATGGGATATTAAATGGGGCTAAAAAATGGGTTGGGCTCAATATTTACTATATAGCCACATAAGTCTATATAATCTAGAATACATCTCGGACAATAATATATCAATGAAATCGATACAATCATTAGGACCCATTTGGATTGTAGGAAGTAAGAAACAATTGTCAATTGTTGCTGATGGATTGCAACTGCCGCAATATAGAGTACACTCCAATTATAGGTTCATCTTTAGGGGGAATCCTCCATTATTATTGCAAAATGCCAAGGATGTGTTGTTTCGAGGTTTTTTTGCCATGGACTATTGCTTTCTCTCTGCCGGCAGAGCAGTGGCGATGTCTCAGCATGCCCAGTGTTCTTGGCTTGACATATGCACGAGTTGCACCGGCACAGAGAACTAATGCACATTTGAAGATGCTTCTGGTAACTACTGACTGGTTTGTTTATGGTTATCGTAAAATTCGCAAGTGATACGTAATCGTTGATGTCATAATTCTCTTCTTTCAGGTGGATAACTTTGTTCATGAAGACATGCATCCTCAAATTTCATTCTCAGAATCAGTTTGTAGGTAATTTCTGCTATTGAAAAATTTGTACTGAACAATAAAATAAAGATATAGAAAGATATGGCCATATCAACCATGATTATCACAAATTAAAAACATCAATCTGAAATTTCATCCATTGACAAAAGAAGTATTATCTTTTAAAAGGCATTCTTTTTACCAATGAGCCATAACCAGTCCAAAGCAACCCCTGAAAATATTCCACTCAGTAAACACAGTACCAGTATATTTCCTAAAGCATTTTGCTCTGGTCCCTGCAAATAAGAAAGAACACAAAAATAAACAACAGGTGTTCATTAGAGATCATTAATATTACTAACAATTTTCATTCTGATAATGAGTATGCTGTCACTAACCTTGTAGCCTTTAGGTGCTGCAGTCATGACACAGACGGTAAGGTGACCATTCGTTAAACCGAGGAACGATACAAGGAATATCATCCAACCTTGATCACCGTACTTAGCGGTGAAGTAGAAAGCCGGGATCAATAAGAAACGAGAAAGTATTGTAATCATAAGGCCTTTCCTGGACTCTATCTTCAAGACTTTCACAAGGGGAAGATATCTTGATATCAGATCCCACACATTGTACGCTGCTATCAACACAAGTGGATACCTAAAGACAAGCCAACCATTAGGTACTCATTGTAAGGTACTATCAAGACAAGTCAATATAACTAAAAAGATACCAACCATTAGGTACTTACCATGAACCCAATTGGTGTTCACCAGTGTTTTCGTACAAGAAACCGGGGAAAATCGACAATGTCAAGACATATATCAGATAAAGGTCAAGCCCATAGTCTATATTTTGAAGGAATAATTGCTTGTTACTTAACCTATCAACCTGATCAGCATTGTCTTCATACTGTAACAGCTATAAGATTAGGAATTGTTAAAATGGATTTGATAAATGCCATGTTAGAATAAGATTCCAGCACTTACTTGGTCATCTTTTGTTTGGATGCCAGCCGCAACAAGATCAGCTTTCACAGTTTTTGCTCCTTCAGAAGCAGCCTTCGACCGGAAGTACTTCACAATTGGCAATTTAGGGAAGTAATATGTATACAACATGAGACAAAGGAACTCAAAAAATGCAGATATAGCTAGAAACAACACTGCAGAGAAAAAAAAACAAAAGAGTTAATGAACTCCAAATCCTTGGTTTAGTTTACAGTTTGGCATCAGAACACAAAATATATAAAGATGTCCCTGTAGGCTGTAAGTTTATGAAAAAACAATTGCAACAATGAATGGCACCAATATGTTACGTGAATACATCAACATATACGCAGAACATACTTGTCCCTTTTCGAAGACCATTGTCGTACTTTTCAAAAGCCGCTTTCGTGATAAATCTCAAAGCAGAGGTCACAGCACCAGATGCAGCCAAACCAGCAAAGAAGGACTGAATGATAAAACCAGCTGTTACAGTTAAACCTATTGCTGAAAAACCTACATAAAACTATCAAAAAAGGCAAAGAAAACGGACCTGGATAAATTCAGGGAGCATGAAAGATAAATCACCAACAATTCCACCTTGAACAAAGGCATCCGCAACACCAAAACAAGCAACAAATGAACATATACCAATGAAGGGTCCAATTCCTCCGCTCCCTGATGTGGCTAAATCCATCTACAAAAGAAAAAATTGGAAAAAGGTAAAGGTTATAGCCTATAGGAGAACCAAGAGGATGCAGTATGCAAATATGGGAGTAGTTTACTTTACCACTATGAGCATGAGAGTACTTGCAAAGAAAAGGAAGTAGCCAAATATGTTCCTTCTTCTGGTATTTATCTTCGATTCATTGTAAGCCAATATCGCCATTGTTATGAATGCAAAAGGTTGATAAACCAGAGTAAGAACCCTGGAAGGATGGTAGTCCTTGAAATGCAAACAAAATTATCATTAGACCAACAGCCCCAAATTTTAGCTTCAACAGAGTAAGAATGGGTGACTTACAGGGAACAAATTATAGTAATAATCTCCAATAGTCAGCATACTGTTCCATGAAACAAGAGATCCAAACCCCAGAAGCCAACAGACAATTATGGCACTAACCTTTCCCTGATGAATTTCCACAGCAAAATGGTGTAATTAAAACAAGAATGATCTGGAATTCCACCGATACAACTAAAGAAGAAGAAAAGCACAAACCTCAAGCCTTGTAGGCGAATCTCCCCCATCAGCAATAGTCATGTTTGCTTCCTACAGAATCGAGAAAACTGAACAATAAGTGAAATTCTGCAACAAGTTTCTGTCAAAACAGAAACAAAGGGGTTGCTTTGCTTTGCTCTTCAAATAGAATATATATATAAATCAACAGCAACGCCGGCCACATGCAATAATGGAAATATATTTTATATATTATATTATACACACACAAAAATGACAAAAATAAAGAGCTGACCCTTAATTTCACGGGATGGTGTTAAGTGTGAATAGTGGATAATATAATATAAAGTGTGAAAGCCTGAAAATGAAATGATGTACGCTGTGGACTGCAAAATGTGAAAACCAAGAAGGAAAAGTTGCTTACTATTAGAAGGAATCTGAAAATTTTATTATTATTTATGTTGGGATCCATTTCATGGATTCTCTTTATATCCTTTATATATATAATGCATTATCTTTATTTTATTAAATGAAAATTAATGTACTCATTTATTTATGATTTTGACTTGATGAAGAGAAAAAGGTAAGTGTATCAAAAAGAATCTTGGTTTTGTGTTTATGAAATAAAAGTTGACAAAAGTGAAGATAGTGAAATGGTCATTTGGATTTGACAAAATAATTTGAAGGTATATTAAAATTTTTCAAAAAATTTGAGATTTAATGAGAATTTTCTTCAAAAATAACTCAATTAAAACATCAACAATTTAAATTTAATGAGAATTGTAAGGGTAAAATTAAAATCTTTAAAAATTTGAGGGACCAGATGTTAATTTTCTAACATTTTTCGCCTCCTGAAATGGTGTCAGCAAAGTTAAAGTAATAATTACATCATGAGAATACAACGAAGGTAATAATAGATCCTTTGGAATAATTTCAAGTAGGATTCTGTTTAATTTAATATAAAGATTCTTCGTATGTTAATCAAATTAGTAAAGAAAATATTATTTTGAATGGAATCAATGCTTGATTGCTGCTACTTCAATTAAGGTATTTAAATTCTTGAATTTATTGGATGTTATTTAAACTAAAGGTTTTTATATATATATTAAATAAAATTATTGAAAACAATTTATATTTTAGATTATTTATAAAAATAGTTTTTTAGAAAAAAAATATATTATAACATTTTTTAATAATCTAGAGTGATAACAATGTAATATTTATTTATAATCTTTTTGAAATATTGATACATCACATACACCCTGCAGACACACTACTCGAACACAAGGAAAAATATTATTTCATTTAATCACTAAAACTTAGAGATGGGCATGGGACCCGAACCCGATGGGTTCTGAATGACCCAACCCGATCGATTTAGGTTTTTTTAAAATTCGGGTTTGGGTCGGGTAGGGCTTTTTAAAGGTGATTTTTGGGTTGGGTTCGAGTTTATGGTGAAAAATATCCGACCTGACCCGACCTGAGAAAAAATATAATTTACTTTATATATTTAGGAATAATTACAATAATATCCCTCTATATATATATTTTTTTTTCAATTAAATCATTGTTTTTATTGAAAAAAATAATATTTTTTATTATTTAGAGTCGGGTCGGATCGATTTTGGATTTTATCTCAAAAAAAATCAGGTTAGGTTCTGATCGGGTGAAGGGTATATATTTTTTGGGTCGGGTGAATGATGTAAAATTTTTGGGTCGGGTCGGATTGACCGAAACCCAACCCTACCCATGCCCATCCCTACTCAATGAGTTTAAAATATTTTTTTGAGTTAATTACATCTTATGTCCCCAAATTATAATTCTAATTTTAAATGGGTCCTTAAACTTTTCAATATTCTATTTCATCCATAAACTATGACCCTCTTTCTAAATCAATCCCCAAACTTTTGAATATTTCAATTTTATCCCTAAAATCGTCCAAATATGTAATTAGATTCAACAATAGTTTAACATAAATTTTGTTTTTTTTTTCAAACATATAATAATATAACTTGGGTTAACGATTTTATTAACAAATGATGTGATTAGTATATACATATATTTTGGGATGAAATTTAAATGTTCAAAAAGTTTGAGGATCAATTTAGAATGAATGTCATAGTTTGTGAATGAAATTTAAATGTTTAGAAGTTTAAGAACTATTTTAGAATGATAGTAATAATTTAGGGATGAAATTGAAATATTTAAAAGTTTAGAAACCAATTTAAAATGAAAGTCATACGATAAAATTAACTCATATTTTTTAAGGAAGGGTTCAAAATATTATAAAGTTTTTTTAATAACAAAATATTATAAAGTTAAATGACGATTCATAATTAATTTTACTACATCTTAACATGTGACGTTTTAAACATATATATATTAAGCTTAAAAAGATTGACGATTGATGGCATATAAAGCAATCTTCTTTATTGATTATAATTGATTGAGGGTGGGTGGGTGGCCCTCTTTAAAAAAGAAAAAGAAATTAAACAAACTTTCAGCTATAATTGTTTTTGGTAATTTTGTTACAAAATTTGTGGGAAAACTGTAACAATGGTCACTAATTTCAAATAAATTTCTTTTTGTTCATCCTTGAAGTTTGAAAAGCTAAACTACTATCACTAATTTTATCAATTTATAATAAAATTATCACTATCGTCAGCTGACGTTAAATTGATGATTTGAAACATTACTAAAATATTAATATTCAATTTAGTTCCTAAACATAACTATAACTATAACTATAACTATAGTTTAGTCCTTTAATGAATATTTATAATAGAATAATTTGGCAGACATTTAATAATTTTAAATATTAAATACTAAAATGATTAAGCCTTCTTTATTAGAGCACTAAAGTTTAAAATAGAAAAATAAATGTTTCATCCGATAATCACGTTGGCAATTAAATTATAATAATCACGAATACACTTTTTATATGATTTTGAGATTAGGGTTTAGTGTAAGGTGTGAAGAAGACAATGACAGCAAATATTTGGTGGCAGTATAATTTGGGGATCCGCCGTACGAGGAAATCAAGCAGATAAGGCATGCTTTTTTTTTTCTTCAAGTTCTCACTAATGGATAAATTGTCCGTCTAGCTCAGTTGGTAGAGGCTCTTAATTTTGTGGTCATAGGATCGAGTCCTATTGAAGTTAATTCATAACGTAAGTCTTCCACAGAAACTGCTCTCAACCTGATGTTGGGACAAATTACTATCTTATCTCCCCTTACCCCATTATATATCAAAATAGGATAAGCTTTGTTTTTTCTCACTAATGGATGTGAACGGTGGAGTTGAAATGCATATAAAAAGAAACAAAACGCCTCTCAATTTTATGGATAGTGTCCCACATCTTTATTGAAAAAAAAAAATTAACAGATATTTTAAATTTCAATCCTGATACAAACTATAATTAAATTGTGATCTAGTTATGCTGTAAATTTAATTATTTTTAATTTTAACATTTAATGATTATAATAAAATTTTAAAAATTAAAAATTATAATGATAAAATTAGTCCTAACATTTGTACAAACGAATACTTTAACTCATACTTTTTGAGTATCTTAACTCTAATATTTTGATTTTTTGTCAAAACAATCCAAATTAGATAAAAATCGTTAGTTAATTAAAGTCAACACATGTTATTAATATCATTTCACACATTTAATTGTATGATGACGTGACATGTGTCAAACATTTAATATGATAATGTGACATGTGCCGCAACATTTAAAATGATGACGTATTATTTGTTGCGATTTTTTAAATAATGACGTGACATATATCATAACAATTAAAATGATAACATAATATGTGTCACATCATTATTTAAACATTTTAAAAAATATCACATCGATAATATATGTTAATCGTTAATAAATTAATATTTTTCTTCTAACATCATATATATTAAAAAGTTAAAATATTGAAAACTAAAAAAACAAAATAAATATTTGAATAAACATTAACAACTAATTTTATAATTATATTAATTTAAAAATATCATGATTAGTTAAAATATATATAGATAAAAGATTATGCATTAATTATGAATGTCCTCGGCATGCGTATGCATCGAGAGATGAACGAAACGTATAGATATTTATTAGCGTAAAAAGTAGACCACATCAGTTGACATGGATGGCCATTTAATTGTGATAAGAACCGGACCACACAACAATCCAATGACACAACAGCTACGTTTTCTTTGTATGGCACTTCTTCTGCTGATAATTACTACATTTTCGTCCCAATGTCAAAATTAGTAGCCATAGGCCCCCTTGGAAGAACTCTAAGCTTTATGGGCCAAACCTTTACGAGTTACTTGGATAACAGATCACTCCTCACTAGTGACTTCGAGTCTAGATATACAGTGCATCCCTTCGCCATACTGAGACACAAAGTCCAAATTAAGAACGACTCATCCCTCTGCCTTATCAATGAAGTATAATGCGTACACATGCATAATGAACCCTATGAAAAGTCAATTATACCTGATAATAAGTTAACCAGGTCATAATTCAATTTCATTTTCGGTTATGAAAATATATTAGTTTATTTATCAATACATACAACATGTTCACGTCTTCAATGAAATTAATCAAAAGTATACCATAACATGACAATTTCACATTAAATTCAATATAAACACACCTTAACGAATTTATATAAAATTTGAAACTCGATATACATGTTTGATAATCGGTTAACACAATTTACACAATACATACATATACAAACACTATCATAACATAAAAAACAACAAATAAATTCAACCGTGACTATACTCACCTAATCGAAGCTTGTGTTGCCTAAGATTTGTCGGTTTACTCATTTGCCTTCTCTTTCATTCTCATCTTAAAAGTTTCAACTTCCTCCACTTGATCTTAATATTAAAAACACAATGCAAATTCAATACACACATGTGCATATTAGTTAAAGCTTAGATTAACACATGTATGACCTTTGAATAATTTAAAGTTTGGAATTTTTATTACCTAGTTTACTCTCTAAATCTATGTTAGTTAAATTGTTAGGTAATACAAGGACTTTCAACATCTTAATTTTAATTAAATATGCAATAGGTATTTTAAGGGAATTTAGAATCTTCATTCATGGTTGAAGGTTCAACATTGAAGTTTTGGGTATATAGAAAGATGAAATCAAAGATAAAAGAAGAAGAAGAAGAGTTTAGGC